GTCTATGTAAAATGTAATAAACTAACCTTTCACATTATTCTTCCTTTTCCTTTAGCCATCTTCGCTTCTCACGTCATTTTAGCTATTAAGCGCCAAGCCTGAAAATAAATAAATAGAAAAATTTAATATTAATTCGAACAAGAAAGCATCAAAGTGCAGAGTGTGGTAGGACTCACACGGCTTTGGTATTTTTTTCTTAAGTCCAACAGCACACTCGCCGAAGAAAAGCGAGAGAGCCACAGACACATGTGCAATGCTTCATGTCATCCACATACAGGCACATACACATCTTGGAATGGAGTTAGAAAGGGATCAATTAAGATCAATGCACTTCACTTTCTCACACACTTTTCACACTTCCTCCTGTGATCTCCTTTTTCAGCTCCGTTTACCCCTTTCTTTTCCAGCTTTTACCGCTTTGGCAGCACTCGTGAGAAATTAGAGCCAAATAAGAGAGAGAGAGAGAGAGAGCGACATCATCTTCATCTTCCCTCACCATAAATGCAGAATTCGTGGAGCGAAAGAGCCTTCGAAGTTTTACTAGTGTGCAAATGCCCACAGCAAACAAAAGAGAAAGAGAGTGAGCGACATCATCTCCCCTCTCCATATGTTCCACATTATTAATGGATCTGTCATTTTCTAAATCGGCTGCGCACCTTCATACACACTTTATTTTCAAATTGATATGCCTTTTTTGCTGCATTCGATTAAACACTTTTTCACTACACTTACACTTTTATCCTTTAATTTGCCATTTTATCTGCCATAGCTGCAACTGCACACGGGAGAGGGAGAGAGGAGAGCGAGAGAGACATCTTAATGTCACAATGGGAAGCGAGCGAACAGATTTGTAGACTTTTTGCAATTGCTTTTTTCATGCAGCGGAAGACCTCGAGACGAACGAACAAATTGTGTGCGACACCACGCTTCACTATTTTATTTTCTCTGCCTATTTTGCTGCCATTTTCTACTAGACATTGCCACTGCACTTGAATAAACACTTTGCTTGCCATTTGATCTGCCATATTTTGAATCTGCAATTGTTCGAGAGAAGGATTGTTCATCTTGCCTCATCTGAATTGGAGACATCATCAGTCAACGGGAAGGGAGCGCAAATAGATTTGTAGACTTTCTGCAATTACGGTCACACACACATGCAGGGCAACACCTCGTGACCGAAAGAAAAAAAAGTGGGCGACACAACGGGTATAGTGGAACCTAGGGTGCTTCTCTGGGATTTCGGCTTATAAACGTTCACATATTTGCAACCAAGATCTGCCATTTTCTGCAGCTGCTTCGCTCCTTTATTCTATCAAACACTTTTTTCACTGCACTTTCACACTTTTCATCTTATTTGCATCGCCTTCTCACATTTTCGTAGACTTAACACTTTATTGCCAGGATTTGTAATGGTTTTCACTACACTTCACTTATACAACATTTTCCTTTTCATTTTCATAATTTCCCGCATTTTCCGACTCGAAACCGGCAAAAAACTCGGAGCTGACTTTGAACGCGTGCAAAACGAAAATATGGAAATGGAGAGTGGAGAATTTTGATGCAGTTGCGCTGCCGGCTTAGCACTCCCACATTCCATGCTTTTTTTTGCACACCTTCCAGTCTCTCACTACTAACGCATTAGATGAGCGACGAACGTGTGGGTGTGTGTGTTTCTTGTTGGCAAAGTGGGCGTGAGAGTGAGTGAGATGATTAGAGTTTGGCTTGATGGCCATGATGCAATTATACACGTAAGTCTGTATGCTTATGCATATGTACATACATTTACAGAAGTCTTATTGGAATTAAAAGAACTTGCATAGCTATTTCAATGTGCACCACCTCCCCTCCCACGCTATACGCAAAATGGCAGAAAGACGTTAAATGTGCAGTGCAATTGTGGGTATTATTTCATGAGTCTTGAAAACATACATACACATACATAATTACATCTGTACATACATATGTATGTACATTTGTGCACATTTGTATGTAGAGAAAGAAAGTAGATGCAGAATTAATTTATATTTGATTAGTTTCGTCCCCAAAACTTTTCAACGAAGCATAAATCCACGAATATTCATCCCTCCAGGATCATTAGGATTATAAATTGCTCTTAGTCCCATCCACCGCATCACCATTTTCCTGCCCATTTCCGAATCTCTCAATGATGATGATGAATATGTTATTGGGATGACCGCAACACTTGACCGTAACAACTTGTCCCAAACAAAATGCATTATAATGATTTATGAAGAGGTACTCCTTCCCCTGCCCCAAAAAGTCCAACCCCTAGACAAATTAACGAGGATGTATGATGATGATGTGGCATTCATCCTGCCACAGACAAAAGAGCTAGAGAGAGACACGACACCCACAACCACAAGCTGTCAAAGCCACAAAGAGACACTCGACTCGACTCGACTCGACCCGACCCAAGCTGAAGCTGAAGCAGATGCTTGCCCCAAGGTGTTTTTGCTTCCTCGACCAAAGTTTAAACAAAAATTAAAACACCTACCCTGCCCACCCCGCACAGCAGGAGACCCGACCCTTCCCCCATTTCTAGCAGCCTCTCATCTTTGCCTGAACTTGAAGCTAATCAAAAATGTGTTGCACAAAAAGAGCGTAGGAAGGGCACAAAAAGTAAATAATGTTTTGGTTGTTTTTTTGGGGCAAAGTCGAGCCTAGAGATACGCTTTCGTGTTGGTGTTTATTTGAAGAAAACTTGGGTAAGCGTTTGTAGATTTTCTTCGAATGTTTCTAGGTGTTTTTAATAGCTGCTATATGCTCCACTAATCAAAATGTAAGCTCCAATTTGCACCCCTCAAATCTATATTAAAACGTCACAAACTTACCCAACAAAGCAGCATACCCTCTTCGATTTCCCACCAAAAATAAACGCTAGAAAAAACCTTGTGTAAAGCGAAAGTGCAAAAGTTTTTCCCAAGGAGTTTTCTTTACTTTACTTTACTTTTTTTTTTGGCAGCCGGCAATCAACCACCCAAACCAGCGGGAACGTTGCGGGGAAAAGCGGAAGGAAAAACCCAAACAAGGATGTTGTTGTTGTTAGTTCCATGATTAGCATTTTATCAGTGAGATCCTTGGCAGCAGCATCAGCATTTGCTTTGTCTCTTTGAGGCGGCCAACTTAAACCCATCTTTACGCTAATTTAGTTTTTCGGCTAAGATGCGGCAACAGCTGACAATGTTGCCACCACCCAAACCAGCACACCCCCACGAGTACGGAAAATCACTCCCTTACATTTGACTGGTGGCAAGGAGAAAGAAAGTCCTGTCCTGGTCCTGCCTGCCTGTCACATGAGGCTGCGAAGCTGCTGCGTGCCACATAATCAAGAGAGAAGAGGAAAATACTCGTACAACCGGCAGGGTGCTTTTTATATGTGTGTGTTTTATGTGCAGATCCCATTAATTTATTGCCAGAGACATTGAGACACCTCCAAAAAGCGTACAAAAGGCGACATTATTATTTCATTATTATGCCAAACGCATCCAGGATCAGGGTCCCCTTTCCAGCCCACATCCACGTGAGCAGCAGGTCTCATATTACAGACAATGGGGAAAAGTCCTGCTAGTCCTGGGCTCTCACGTCAGATGATTCATGCGATGGCAAATTTTTTGACGCCCGCCACATAAATAAAACAGGAAGTCTGCTCCCTCCCCCGTCCCGTGGCATATGTTTGGATAGTCCCCGGGTCAAAAGAGGTGGCCAGGGCAGGCGTGAGGTAGAGGCTGTTATATTTACTCGTAAATATTTTTATAGGCCCACAGAAGGTTTTCCGGGAGGCGCGAAATGAATGGAGGAGCTGAACAAGCAGGTGCCTGGAAACACCTTCCTTTTTCACTATTTTTATGCACTGAAGATTTCATTTTTTATGGACAGCATTTTAGAGGGAAACTTAATTTTCGGCAAAACAGGGTATATTTTCGTCGGCAATATAGACAAAAAAACATATTTGCAACACTAAATTTTAATTTGATTCATTCCCGAAAGTTGTTGAACATAAAATTAATTATATTATAGGGCATCCCATAGCCGCAATGGCGTCCCATGGCTTCTCCATCTCCTTTTGCCCTCCAATTTGATCTAAACTTTAATGCTATCAAACGGTAAATTTCCTAGTTGAACTTGCGGCAGATTCACACATTCAAAAAACAAAAACACACCCGCAAACGTAAACACGTAAACACATGTACACTCACACACACGCAATCCACTTACCTTAACAAACATGCATTCCCCTCCCTCTTGTTGCTGCGGCTAATCCTTTCTTTAACGGCTTTTGTGCGAGTAAACCATTTAGCGCCAATTAAAACATAATTGCGGCATTTCCTGATTGCAATCGGCGCGGTCTTAAATCATGTTTCACGGACCTGTCTGTAAATCATTCGAGCGGGTGGAGCCCCAAAATCGCGACACATTTACCGTAACTACAAAACGCGCGCGAAAACACTCACACTCACACACGCGGAACGATGCTGTGGCGGGTAGAATGGTTGCCAACGGGTAAAATGGCTTCAATCTGCGACGCACTTTAATTTTATTGCACTTTTGGCGTTGATTAAAAACTCTGCCACACACCTGCACACAGCACACAACCCCATTTTGGAGGGCGCCTCTTGAAATTTTTGGTGTTGCCACAAAGGACGTAAATTTTGTGCACAGCCTAACGGTACAAATATTCGCTACGCGTTCCGTTCAAGCCGCAAACATAGAACCGCGCGCCGCCGGCTGAGTTTGTTATTTGAATTTTCGTATACTATCGAACTTCGGGTAAAAAAAAAAGCAGTGCATGCCTTCAATTCAAAATATGGCTGCGCGCGCGCAATTTGGGGTCAATTTCGGGGAATTTCTCTCCTGTTTTCAAACGGTCAGCGAACTCAGTTTTGCGTTTTAAATATGAGCCCACAAATACCCCAAAAATATACCAAAGATATACTGCACACTTCTTGAATCGTGCCAACTATCGCGTGGGTTTGTGGTATTTTTTGGCACACACACTACAGTCACACTGCGCGTCCAACACATTTTTTATCAAAACCCAAATTTGTTGTACATTTTTAACGAAAAAAGCCAAGAAAAATGCCTGCCGTGGTGCGTATTAAGCGGCGGATTGACGAAGAACCACACACGGCCTTTGTGCTAAATGGCAAACGCCGACGACTGCACAACGATGAGAATTCATTGGGCACGGCACAAGTGCCGCTGGGGGCTGCAGCCGACACCGACGCTGCGGACAAAGACGAGCTGACGACCGTGCTGAAATTTGCCGGCACGTTGGCCAAGCAGGTGAGTGGTGGGGGGGATATAGCATCCATCTTGGTAGATGTTTAAATTGCTTTTATTTTCTGTAGGATGACAGTGCCACAAAACAATTTGCAGCTGCGCGTCTAAACAAAGCGACGGCCAAGGAGCTGGTGCAACAGAAATCCAATGATGCGGCCATTGCCAGTGCACTGCGCAGGGACAGGCAACGGCTAGCGGCACAACAAACCACACGCGAGCAGCGTTTCCGCGTGGTCAACTGCTTGAGGACCACACTCGAGGACATCAATGAGAGCGAAGGTGCGGCAGGCGGAGGCGGCAGCAGCAGCAACACAGATGACGCTGCCGCACAGATAACAATTCTGGACATTGAATCACAGCAGCAGCAGCGAACGGGAGGGACAACAGCAGGACAGCTGGCAGCGGACGAGCAACTGCAGCCTGGAGGCGGAGTCCCTCAGCAGCAGGATCAACAGCAACCCGCCGACTCGGATATTGGCTATGTCTACGATTTATATGTGCCCGAGAATGAGATGCAGGCGGCCTATGTCGATATGATGGATGACAATTATCTAAGGTTCGTCATACACATTGAACCACATGAGCAAACGTTTAGCATCACGAATACCTTTATGTAGAGATACACACAGAGAGAGAGAGAGAGAGAGACCATTAAGCAATCTATCTCCCAGTTCCCATTGCCGCGTTTAACGGTTGTGGCCTGTTTATGTATTTGTATTTTGTAGGTGCTTGTGTGTGTGTGTGTATATACATATGTGTGGGTGGTGTGTGTGTATTCCCTACCCCCTCCCTACCTGTTTGCAGTCCTCGTGGCCAGTCGTCTCATATATCGCATTTATCCTCTTAATTTTAATGTTAATTAAACAACAAATTTAGCTTATTAAGCTAACAAACAATCATGTCGACTGCTCAATAATCCACCCATTAAACTCCGTATCCGATTCCGTTCTCCATAAAAGGTTGTATTATCCGTTTAATTACTACTACACCTGCTACTGGTAGGACACAGTGCGAGAGAGAGAGAGAGAGGCAGAGCTGAGAGAGACAGTCGTGCCACAGAGACAGAGCAGAGATACAGCCTTGCCACAGAGACAAAGCAGAGCAGAGACACAGCCTTGCCACACACAGAGAGAGAGAGAGAGACAGAGCAGCAGCAGAGACAAAGCCCCCCCGAACCCAACCCAAAGAATGGACTGCACTGCCACACACAGGCACACAGGCCCACACGCCCTAAGGGGGCGCCCCACTAATATGACAAAAAACTGTTTAGGATTCTATCGATTGATTGGTTTATAGTTCATTAGAAATATGATAGATGATCGATATAAATACATATGTATAAATGGTACAATCTGAGCAGCAGAAACGGCAGGAGCATGTCAAATGCTTAGCTGATTTTAAGGATTGTGGATAATACATACATGTAAATGTATAGGCAAATGGATCTATAAGGAAACAGAGTCTGCTTGATCTTCCAACATCTAAATGTCAAAGCTTCAGAGGCAGACTCCTGCTTGAACTGCTTTAAGTCTTAACAAGAAAATGCATCCCTGTTGAAAGAAACCTGCTTGAACTTACAAGATGAAGAAATCTTTTAAAAGGAAATGCATTTATTACGGCAACATAATCTGCTTGCTGGAAACCATCATTAGAACATTGATAGATAAATTCTATCAGGGAGCGATGCAATTATTTTGAAAGGAAGCAACTTGATTAGAGAAGACGAAGGAGAACAACTTTTTCCTTACATTAAATCAAGCAGTATATGAGAGGAGGTCAAAGAAAACCTCCTGGATCTTATAATAAGATGAGGTAAATGCATCTAAAATCTACTCCTTAATCACAAAACTACTACTGGAACGAAAAACTTAAAGATAAAATAGCTGACAAATTATAAAACAAAAGATCCCAAGAGATTCTCTAAAATTAATATTATATAAAGATAACTAAAAGATACATTTATACATAGATCCCTGTACCACTTGAGTAATGTGTTTAATTGTATGCCAGTACCATAAAGCACTATCCCAAAGAAAGACGAAAAGTACGTCTAAGATGTTTAGAAATTAAAACCCTACATTTTTGCGTCAATAAGAAATAGATGCATCTTTAATATGTAACAAATATATTGACCAATTGCGAATACATTTTTCCAGAGAAGAGGTAAAATAAATTGCTAGAATGCAAAAAGATAGCTAACAAAAATAAATCTTTCAATGCAATCTTTAAGAGAAAGATGTATAAAGGAGAAGCCTAAAGCTAAGCTAAGATATTGCATAGAAAATCCCATAAAGAACGCCTAAATGTAGTGCCAAAGTTGAAACGGCAAACGTCACTCTTATATCATTATCTATCACAATTATTACTTATAATAACCAATGTAGAACAATCTGTTTTTGTAAGCCATTTTAGTGCCTGAAAAAGATGATAAAGGAAACATTTTCTACACTGGATTCACCCACTGCCCTCTGCCCAATCAATTATATGAACCAATCAATCGTTAGAGCATTAAGCCCTAGCCATTTCTAGCATAAGTTCTTTCGATTTTGTATAGCTTTTATTTACTATATCTTACACACACCACACACACACACACACACACACCTCCATACGCACACCACACATACCATTTTGTCAGTGCTTCTCATTATTTTCTGCCAGTTCTCCCTGCCCTGCCAGTGGTCTTTTATTCGCTTTGTTTCGTTCTTGTTCCTTTCATTCCACACTAAACAAAAACATTTAATACAAAAACTCAAGAAATCAGAGCCCGCAATCCGAGAACAACTCTTGTGCTAAAGTCTAATTAAGTGCATAGTTTTTAGTGTTTGTTGGGGTCTAGAGCTGCCCCCGTGATTACAAAAAAATAAATAAACTGAATAAATAAATCAAATACAAAATTTAAACCTCTGATGTTTCAATGAAGGAAAAAATGAAAGACTAGCTTCAGGGGGCTGGAAATTTGAAGGAAGGTCTAAAGCTGCGTTGCTAGATGAACACAAACTATAGCTTTGGTTAAGATATCTTTAGGAGCTACAAAGTTTTGTATCTTATAGAAAACATAATGTAATATTTTAAACTACTGCGAAGATTTCAATTCTTCATGTTTTTCCTTTGTAGGAGATTTTTAATAGTTTCACTTTGTAGTTACAATTTTGATAGGAGAATTGGGAGATATGAATAAAAATAAACCTTTGGTTGTGGAAAAACCTTAGAGACCCAAAATGTTTTTTCAATTAAGTTGAAATTTTTAGTACATTTTCCTATGGAAACTTCCATTGCATCTCCAAAGATTAGATCTAATTTGAATATATAACTATAGACAGAACTATAAAGTTTTTCTTACTAATACTTTATTTTTCGTGTGGAAACTATGTTTAACAGGCGAAATGGGTTCGTTCGAGCTTCTTTTTGAGCTATATGTGGAATGAAACTAGTGGTTCCACATTGAAGCAGCAGCTTGAGAGCAGCGTGTTTCCCCCTGCATATCATTATAAATGAGTCTACAATTATCTCTAAACTAATCAGAACTACTCCGCTCATCATTTTGCTACAAATCAACATCCTCTATAAGGTCAAAACAGTTCTCTGACCTTAAAGTTTATACAACATTCAAACCTACACGAGTTGTTTTCAAATATTTACAGCTTTATACCCATGGGTGAAATAGTCCTAGAGGATTGCTACAACGATGCCGAGGAAGAGTACGATTCGGAGGATTCGAATCAGGAGAATTACTATGCCAACGATTATCCCGATGATGAGGAAGCAGCCATGGGCTCTGATGAGGATTTGGCACGTGAAATGAACAAGTTTGTTTTTGGTAAGAGGAACAGTGGAAGTAGATATTGAAATATCCCTAGAACGGTCGAAAATAATCCTCTCTCTTTCACAGACGACGACGAAGATGAAGATGGCAATGTCAGCTCCAGTGACTCTGAGGGCTTCAACACGTATCATGATCCCTATGTCCATTCGATTGACACCTCACACGACAGCTTCGCGGATGATGTGGATTTCTGCAACACGGACCGTGAGCGTGGCAGCGCCTATGAGCGGTACAAGCGTCGCATCCTGCGAGAGCTGGATCAGGATTTGAATCCACAGCCCGTTCAGCTGAAGCCAGAGGACTTGGAATCCGATGAAGATGATGATACAGAGGATTCCTTTGCCAGCGCCGATGATAAATAAAATGTTAACACTTTTCTTGCATTTCAAATATACAATTAAATTCATGTTCAATTCAATTTTATTTGCCTTTAAATTTGTTTTTGTGTTCAGTCTTAACGTCGCCCATATGTGGGCGGGGCGCACAACCCTCCATATAGAGGCGCAGCGTCTCCTCGTCCATCTTTTCGTTCTCCTTGGGCGGCTTGTAGTCAAGCACATGGTCGACGCGCAGTGACCGCTCCATGATTTTAATGCCATTCAGGTTGTCCACGGCCAGCACCGTGGAGCGCTGATCCTCGTAGCACAGGAAACAGAAGCCCTTGGACTTTCCCGTCTTGGAGTCGCGCACCAGATTGATGTTGACCACTTCGCCGTACTGCGAGAAGACGCAAATGATGTCGCCCTCGGAGAGTGTGTAGGGGAAGCCAGCCACAAAGATCCACGCCGAGTCGCGGTACATGTCGTGCCAGCTCTTCTTACCCGCACCCTGTTGCAGGTCGTGCTCGCTGAGTTTCAACACGTTTTTCATATTTGTTAGGGGATTCATTTTGCATTTAATTAGTTTTAAATTAAATGAAATACAATTTTGATCCTCTGTTTACGTTCAGCGGAAATATCAACAAACAAACGCTTTCTAACCATTAACGCAAATCATATTCTTCGATTTTGATATTCCATTTAATATTCTGAGCCAGTTTTGGCCCTTATCAGGTAAAATATAGTTTCAAGCGATTGATGCATACATTTTCTACTGGATTATCAATACTTAAATACTCGTTTTAATTAATTTATTTATAAAGTACGGTTTAAAACAAAATTGTTGGAATGAAGCCTTGAACAAATTTAAGTATTTACGTGGTAACTACATCTAGACGATTGAGACATTTGGATGGGAAATACCAAATGTGATTCTTTTGGTATACGTTACTGAAACGCAAAAATGAGTCGGCAAAGCGTATACATGTGTAGTTACTATGTAAAAAATATATATTTTTGTGTACCTTCTTTTTGAACCCTTTTTTTATAAAACAATTCAAAGAAAATAACCTATACATTTATTTAAGAATCAGATAAAACTATAAGCTCAGTTGTAAAAAAATTGAAAATCAGACTTGAGGAAAATGATTTTCCTCGGTATATCTACGGTATATTTCGAACACGCATATTTGTGAGACTGTCAGACGGCATATCTTATTGTTAAATCCACAGTCACACTGGTTGGCGCGTTTTGTTGTCGCGTTGCCCGTTTTTTGCTTTGCACAGGCCCTGCCTGATAAAAATGTTGTAATATTACTCTTATTACAAGCCCAGTGTTTCCTTCGAAATAGCGAAAGGTGTGTAAAATTGTTCACTTTGCCCCCCCGCCCCTGCAGAGGGGTTCTGGAGTAAGCGAAGAAAAACGATATGTTGAAGAGCTAAAGAAGAAGAGGAGGAAAGAAAAGTATCTCTTCTCTATTTAAAAATGTGTGTCAGTGTATTGTGCGGCGGCAGCAGAAAAAAAGAGCATAAGCAGCAACATAAGCAAAAGCAACAACAACAAAAGTATAATAAATAATAGCTCTAGCACCGTTTTGGCGACGACTTCCCAAAGAGACCCTGAAGAGGTCTTTTAATTGTGGCATTGTTTTAGTACTTTTTCCCAGCATTCAATTTCCAAGACGTGTTTTGTGCCAAATAACAGCAAATTATTCCCCCGTTTTATTCGGGAATATAGTGAAGTGTGGAGTGTGGTGTGTGTGAGTGTTGGGAAAGGGGAACTTGAAGTGTGCGTGTGTGTGTGGTGTGGAAGGAGGACCAGTGCTCTGCTGCTGTCATCATCCATCCTGTATCTCCCTTTCTCACCCATTGTTCAAGTGTATCGTTTTGTTTCCCACGCATTATGCTCGCGCTTTGCTATTGGAATAGTTGGTATGTATGAACATTTTCAGCGAAAATACTGTATTCAACTGTATTATGGAGGGTAATTGCTTTTAAAATAATTTCAAGCCATAATAATACCCTCCCCTCGTACGGCGTCATATTGTCGAACTTAAAGCATTATCAGGCGGCAGTCATGCACATATACTTATGTACATATGCTTGTTTGCCTCTGTGTTTGTAATCATGTATGAGCGTTTTTCACACTAGATTTTTGTCACCCTGCCTTCGTTCCCCTCTTACATGTGCATGCACACACACACACACACCTGAGACAACTCCACCATATGCCTTGCGCCCAACTGTCCGTCCCGTCTATCTGTCTTCTCTGTCTGTCTGTCATTCCACCCCATTTGCAGTGTATCTCTCTTACTCGCTGTAAGTGTGTGTGTTTGTATGTTTGCGTCTGCCGCCGCCTTACGTGTTGTTGTTTTTGGTCAACAGAAAAAAAGGAAATTTATTTTCTTGTTTTTAGTGTTTAGGTGTGGTCGTGCTTTACACATGCATGAGGACATGTAACGTGTATGTGTATTACATGTATCCCCGCGGATTTAAGCGGAAGCATCCATAAAAAAAGTTTTGTGGTTGACATTGAACTCTCCTGCTGTTTCCCTCTCGCTTGCACTTAGTCTCTCTCTTGGTGAATGTCCTCCTCTTAGGGATTTTCTTCTTCTGAATATCTTTCTCCTTCCCTTTGGCTCCTGCAGTTGCGTCTTCCTCCCTATCCTCGTGCTGTTATATTTCCTTCCATTGCCTTGGTTCCTCTTTCACTGTTTTGTTTCCCACTCCTTTCGCTAATTCCCCATTCCCGCTTTCTGCACCACTCTGTTGACTGACTTTGCCGTTACTTTCCAAAAAAAAGTCGCTCCTGGCCTGGCCTTTCATTTTTTTCGCTCGCTTTTTGGCCACATTTACTTTTTCCTTATACCCTTTTTGGCACTGCAGAGAGATTTGGTGAAAGGAAGCAATTGACACTAATGATTGGGGTAAATAATCCGCAGATCATGATTAATTTCCCTAAATAAAAGGTAAATTTCCTCTCTAGTGAAATGCGATCAAAGCTAACCGATCTAGGGGGAAATGATTTTTACTTTGACGCAGTTTTATTGAATTCCTATCGGATGTTATTACTCTTATTTCTATAGCACTTATCCATTACCGAATATTATCCAATATTTATCCTATGCTTTCCTATCCTATGAGAGCATTTTAACTTCGCGTTGACTCATTTGTTCGCTTAGTTTTCTATGGTGGTGCGGGAATGTGCAGGCCGGGCCAAGCTTTCTCGTTTATTATTACGATGTCTGATATAAATATACACACATACATATGTACATCATTTTACATTGTACCCATACTGTTATCATTATGTGGCTCACGTCTTTGGGAAAAAAAAAGATTCGCGCTGCGACTGCGCACGATTATGGCACATTTCATAGCCCCCCTTCGCCCGCCTTTCCTGCTACTGGTGGCTTTGCTCCAACGATGACGAGAGCAAAGTTGACTGCTGCCTGTTGCAGCAGCAAAAAAAAAAACGTGTCAAGTTGGCCAGATATATCTACTACCAGCTATCCATCCATCCATTTATATGGTATATGGTAGCCGCTGTGCAAGAGCATAACCAGAGAGAGAGAGAGAGAGAGAGCCGCTTGTCTGGGAGCTTCTGAGCTTCGATTAATTTCGTTGCGCCTCGGTAGCTGTGCACTCAACTTAAACATCCGCTCTGCAGCCGTTGCCGCCGTTGCTGCCGCCGCCGCTGCAGGGTACCAGAGCGTTTACCTCGTCGCAGAGGGAACCTAACCTTATTACACATTATACTACATTTACCCACTACCCACATCTGCCCCACTGCCCCTGGCCTGTCCTGCCCTCTGTGTTTGCCTCTGCCCCAGCGTCAGGCATCGTATAACACATCTCCCAATATCGCAATATCCCAAAAAGAAAACCCCTTTCTCTAGGGTTACATTTGCATGGCCTGGCAGGGGAGCATCTGGTTTTTGTTGGGTTTTAGAAACGGCATTGCACTACACTAGACAGCAGGGGTTGCAGCACTTCACGCACTAGACTGCAGCCAAAGGGGGTTGAAATGTGAGTCCACATTCCAGTTATGGCTTAAGCGGAACCCCTAATCATATTCATGTCATTGTCTACCCAAAATGGCAAATTATTGGAATGTTAAAAAAAGGCGGGAATTATTCAGAGAACGCTTAAACAATGGCAAACAATGGGAAACATGCATTTATGACACATTATTCTTACGGTTCCAATTGGAATTATGTTTGTGCTCCAGGATAGTTGCCAGCTTTGTTTATGTTTAAACCAAAACATATATAGACTTAAATATATCTTGAGAGGGTTAAAACATTATTATAGTTTATACGCACAGCTCCAATAATTGTAAATATTAAACAAAAATGCTGTAGTTTAGTGTCTTCCCCGCCCCTTCTACACCATCCAATGCACAGAAGCAACAAAGAAATTGCAAAAAAATAAACAGCAACAAAGCAAAAACTGGTGCTTTTCCCCCTTTTGCGTTTCTTTCTCTCGCTTTTGCTTTCCCCTTTTGTCACTCGTCTTTCTCGTTTCCCTCCTCTTCGTTTCTCTCTCGATTCGCCTGTTGTCTCTTATGACTGTTTACACCTGTTTATTTTGTAGGCAAATCGGAATACCAAGCTGACGAAGCCGCAGACGCCACCGTCTCATGTTCGCATTTTGTTTTTAGTTGTATATTTTATATTTTGCTTACATAAAAATGTTACAACAAAAATTCTTTACAAATTCGCTCCATATTTGGCCACTGACGCGCCCCCGACAGTACCAGTGGGTTTTCTTGTTGGAGCTGGGGGAGGCAACGCACCGCATGCCAAACCCACACAACACTTTAAGAATTTTTGTTGGCTTTGCCTCTCTGACTTCAGCTGGGGCTCTAATTTGTTGTACCCTTACTTAGGGATAGGGTAGTACGCTTATGAGGAGCGGCTTGCTGGGAGGAGAAGAAGGGGTTGGAAATAGAACAAAAAGTATAATCAAAGCTATAATCTAACATCAAGATATTCCCTTGGAAATTACGCCACAATTTCTAACGATTATGATAAAAAATGCTGCCATTTGGGCATAAGATTGTATCAATATGTGTTCTGCCAAATCAGTGGAGAATCTCGTAAGGGTATTCCCAGATTCGGTTATTAATAATATGAGCCCTTGTCTTCCCTGCTCTGTTCCCTGGTTTTCTGTTGGTGGTTTTTGTTTCATATACGCATATCAAATAATTGAGCTCAATTGATTTCAATTAAAACTGACAACTGGGCTGATGATTTCGTTGTGGTTTCTTGTTGTTGTTCCTATGGTCGTTAGTGGCAACTCATATGAAACAAAAACCATCAAAATGCCCCTCAAAGGTTGGATTGGATTGGATGTACTACTGTCTGTCTGTTTGGGTCGCTGGATATTCATGTATCGTGCTTGATGGACTGCATCGAATGGGCAATGCATTAATGGGATTGTATTTTATTTTTCATTGGAAAGTATAGAAAAAAAAATGGTACAAACATTATTCAGGAAATGCAAGAAAGCTTCGTTCACTTGAAAGGATCACTTTTGAGGCAGATATTCTAATAAATCTTTTGAGATCTAACGAATTTCTATCGCTCTTTGGTTTCCCAAAACAGGCAATCCAATTTTTGGCAATGTTTGCCTTATTTTTAATCCGATTGTTCTTGAAATTTGTTTGATCGTCAGATAAAAAAGCTGAAACATAGACATGACTGTTTATAGTGTGTTGAAATCCATATATCTTGATAATTTGTATTGTTATTGACTTGCGGGGGCCCATTCACGGGGAGAGTCGTCTAGTCTGCCTTATAAGGAAACACATTCTTATAATTTACGAGATCTACATACGAGATATCATACAGAGACATGAATGAGCGACTCGGTGTATACCGCTTGAATAATAATTGCGCGAAATGAAAGTTCTTATTATTCTACATTCCATTCAAATCGCTGGATGATTCATGAGGTAAATTTATACACGTGTTTTCGATGATAAAATTTGTTGTACAAAAATGACAATTCCAGATTGTGTGTCACACGGATGAGTAATAGAAAAATAAGGAAAACAAGAACCTTTTCACTTTTATTATTATCTGCGAAAATAGATAATAGCGAGATATGCTAAAAACAAGTACCCAGGATTATTCAGGGGTTTCAGAAGGTACTTTACATTTTATGAGTACTCTGGAATACAGAATTCTACAGACAGAATAATTATTGTCCGTTGAATATCGGAAGGGGGATCTATTTTCTCATGGCTTCGGGAAGATTACACTTTATTTCTTAAAGTTTCCTTCTCGTTCTATGACTTCCACAAGTAACCTTTCTTCTCAGTTCTTTGAGTGTCACTTTGAGTAAATCTTTG